CCCCCCCCCCCCCAAGTCCTAAACCCTCAACCGAAAAAAAACCCAAAGCCCTAAACCAAACTACTCGAAATCGCAAGCCCTAAACCCAAACCCTATAACCCCTAAAGCCCGAAACCCCAAAACATCCTAGAAACCCGATGGCTGCCTTCGGAGTCCTTGAGCATCAGGTTCGAGCGAGGAAGTTTCTGCTCTCCAACCTGGCATTGATAGGGGCTTAGGATTTAGGATTTAGGGGTTGCCAGGATCCCTAAGCCCTAAATTCTTAAAGGAACCCCTACAGGAACGCCTGAACCCTAAACCCTTAAAGGAACCCCTACACGATCCCTAAACCCTAAACCCTTGAAGGAACCCCTACGGGAACCCTAAACCCTAAGCCCTTAAAGGAACCCCTGCAGGATCCCTAAACCCTAAACCCTTAAAGGAACCCCTACCGGAACCCTAAACCCTAAACCCTGAAAGGGGTTCAGGAACCCTAAACCCTAAACCCTAAACCCTTAAAGGAACCCCTATACAGGAACCCTTAAACGTTCCTTTAAGGGTTTAGGGCTTGGGGCTTGTGGTTCGAGGCTTAAGGTTTAGTACTTCGGGTTGCTATTAGGGTTTAGGGTGTAGGATTTTGGGTTTAGGTTTAGGGTTGAGGTTTAGGGTTTAGGGTTTAGGGTTTAGGGTGTAGGGTTTAGGGTTTATGGGTTTAGGGTTTAATGGTAGCTTTCTTGCTCTGGGTCGTATGGCTTTTTTCCTTGTCTCAAAACTGCTGTTGAGCCGATGGTTTATACGGGCTCAGGCAAAGCTTAGACCAGGAAACCCTACACCAAACCCTACACCCTACAATAAGAGCAGCAATAGCAACAGCAAAGAATCATAAGCCATGCTAAGGTTCCTACCATAAGCCCTAAACCCTAAACCCTAAACCCTAAACCCTAAACCCTAAACCCTGATTCCCCTAAGCGACCTCAAGGGTTCCTTCCAAAAGGCGCCTTTGTGGTTATGCTTACGAGAAACTCTGCATTTGGGATTATTGGTCCCCTAAGGGTCCAAGTAGCCGTTACTTAAGGACTTTGGGGCCAGAGGGTTTAAGATTCTACTTGGCTGACTTCTGAACCCCGAACATGCTAAGGGCTAAGAGCCAACCAGAAGAACGCCAAGTCCGGTGGTGTGAAGTGTAGGGCGCCCGACCATCATAGCCAGGCATTCGAGGTGACCACTCTTAACCTTGGATTTGACTTCAGGGTCTAGGGGTTTGAGTTTGCTTCTTCTTGGAGGGGGGAATACTTTTTAGGGTTAGGGTTCGGGGTATGGGGCTTACCAGGTATCTTAGCAAGCTATGAAGGACTTCGCGTGCTCCTGAGTTCCTCCTTAGAGCTCTTCGTGGGTTTGGGGTATGAGGGTTTAGGGATTGCAGGGGTTTAGAAACACACATCCTGCTAGTCAGATCCTTCGGGTTTACGGTTTAGGGTTTAGGGTGGCCTTCAAACCTAACCCTACTAAGGTTCCATGCACCTCATCGTGTGTGCTTAGGGGCTTAGGTCTTGAAGTAAACCTGAACCCTCAGCCGGCATCCCCTGCGGGCCGTTTTTGGCTTCACGAAATCTTGGGTACACTTACTTACGCAGAGGACAAATCCACATCCTTATAACCCGACACCCTAGCACAGTAGAAACGCAGCTACAACCCTTATCAGCCTGAGCTTAAATTCAACGATACAAAAAATAGACTCGACATGGACCCTCCCGAAATAAAGCCCTTGCCATAGCCTATGTGAAAGCTGACACACCGTCTTTAGACCTCAAGACCCTGAACCCAACCCTAAACGCTCCAACCCTAAACCGGAAGCCGTCAACCCCCCTAAACCGCCATCATAAACACCCCAAACTACCCGAAGCAGCTACCTAGCCTGTTCCAATCCCCAACACCCCAAAGACGCATGGATACTAAACCCGATAAGCCCTAGAACACCGTGAAGCCCTAGAAATTCCGAAATAACGAGCCAGTGACTGCCAGGTGCGCGATATTTCTGCCGAGCCCATCTAGGGCCCGGAGAGCCTTTGGCTCTAGAGCCCAGTCGACGCCCGTCGCGAGCCTTGAGGCTTCTTGGAAGGCTTCCTTTCGGCTTTCTCAGGTCTTGCGAATGTCATACTGGCTCTTTAAGGGGCTTATGCGGGGTTTTGTGTGTGTGTGTGTGTGTGTGTGTTTTGTTGAATGGGATTCTTCAAACGGCTCCATTGGGCGCTACAAGGGGTTCTTTACCGGGTTGTCCGAAGGTCTCTACTACAGGGGCCTGAAGACCATTTTGGGGGCTACTTATTATAATCATAGTATAATATATCCCCAACATCCTTTTGAAATCATTAAGGCCCCTACAAAAAACAAGGGTTGGAGCGTCTCAGGCTCCGATGATTTGCCCTGATATAGGGGCCTCATAATTAGCATAGGGTTTCGGGGTTCCTTTAAAGGGTTCCTTAAAGGGTTTTTTTAGGGCTACTATAAGGGGTTAGGGGTTTAGGGGCCTTAATGTTTAGAATAGGGTTTCGGGGTTATATTATACCATAATCATTATAAGGAGCCACCAAAATAGTATTGGCAATTATTTAAGGCCCCTACAATAACGGTCAATGTCAATGTATGTAGCATTAGGCTTTGTAGGATATCAATATATTGCAAGGTTTGGTGTGGGGTGTCATGGTATTTACTATCGCGCTTTGTGTGGTCTATGTACCTGATTATATAGTAGATACTTAGGCTCTGAATTTCTGCTGAATTCTCCTGTGCGGACGAAGTACATACTGCCCTCGGCGAACTCTCAGCCCGTATTAACATGTTCCAGGCCTTCTAATAGCCAGAGTCCGTGTTGGTGGCGGCGGCATAGGCGAAGGCTTTATCTTATGCAAGTGACAAGGGCTTAAAGCCGACGAATGAACCGTAATTGCCCATGTACCTATAGAGCTATATAGCATATATGCAGGCCTTGACAGTTCCTATATAGGTACTTCAGGGCCAAAGCATTTGCTATCTAGGTCCTGGGACCTCTGGGGAAAGCTCTTACTGCTGCAAAGGGGCATGTACAAAGCGTTGGGGTACGGCTGCATCGCGGCAAGGTGGACGACCTGGCTTCATGTGGTAGCGACTTAAGGTTTATAGTTTATAGTTTAGGGTTCGGGGTGCAGCTATACAACTGTCTGCTGTAGAAAGTGGGATGCTCCCCCCAACAATGACTGCACGCTAGGACGAAGGGCTGAGGTGGCCTCGGGGAAAGACACGCATACATGGTACCAGCTGTCAAGTGGCATTCAGCTTCTCAGACGAGTTGATGACGATATGAAGGTCGTCCTCCTGGATCATCCGCTTGGGAACCTGAGACAGGACTTACCACAGTGGAGCCAAGGTGTCGGGTTTGTGGGAAAGACGTGACTCTTCTGGACTATTCTGCTGGTGTGTACACCTGGGAGCCGGAAGGTCATAACAAACAACGTCTTCGAACGGATCTTTAGTCTTGACAACTGTATACCCATAGGCCCCATAGTAGTTCCTTTTTGTGGCTTACATTTAGGATCCTATTAGGTAATCCCAAAAAGGAACTACTATGGGGCCTATGGGTGATTATAAACTGGCAAAACCTACACGACGGTCCCCGACGTTCCGCATAGGATATGCTGGCCACTCGGATGGGGCTCCTGCTGCGAAGAACTACCAACTCACCACGTCCGAAATCCTGAAATCATTTAAGTCGTAAATCGCGCGCTGCAGTACAATAAACCTGCATTTTTGTGCTCCTCATATATCGTCTTCCTGTATAGGCCTGCGAAATATAGTTTGATTTTGCTACAGGATGATGTCAACGTCTCAGAGTTCCTGACACTATCCTCGGCGTCGCCTGCCTTCAGGCAGGAGAGGTCGAAGGCCTTGATGCTGGTGACGGCTTCCACCACCTCATTGCCGGTCTCTGGCAGTCTCAACGAGGGCTCCTATTAAGGGCTGTTTTATCTGCACTACAAATGGCATTCACCTGCTACTGGGTGGGGGCAATAACCAGGCAATAAGCAGTATCACATACTACTTTACCCGCAAAGGAAAACGTTGTGTTGCACGATCAAGGACATTTGTAGAGTACCGGCATGGCTCTGGAATAGTGGTAGTTAACCCACAAATCGGCCCCGATAAAACCCAACACTATCTGTTTACGACCTCGGCGGCCACCTGTAATACCTGTAGAACCCGATAGAATATGTTCAATTCCTACTAGAACGGGTCAGTACATTTGATACACCCGCTCGGTGCAGTGACATTGCTTTAGGGCTGTTGCTGTACTCCGTAGTTCCCTTTGGAGTCATTCGAGTTTAAGGCTAGTGTTGTGCTGAGTAGAGTAATCCTAAAGCCGCAGCCCTTAAGCAGATGGCCTTGGGCCTGCGGCTTCGGGTCCTGCATTTCGAGGTCATATGGGCCAGCATCATCCTATGGAGCCTGAATCATTATAGGTCTTTTTGAGTCTAGTATACTCCTAAGTGTATACTATGATACAGTGTAGAATCAATACAGCAATTATATAGGGAGGAGCAAAGGGAACCCTAGTAGCCAGCGCTGACTTCTTAGGGCTTAGGTCTTGGGGTGTGATGTAGGCGCCTGATGCAGACGCAAAAATCTTTAGAATGAATCGATGCATATGGCTAGTCTCGAAGTGGAGGCTCCTTTCTTAGGCCCCGGCCCAATATCATACGGCACCCCTCAAAAAGGGACCCTAGTTTAGAGAACTGCCCACCTGCATATGGAAGAACGACATGTATGCCTGAGTCCTGCAGCTCCTCGCTTAAGACTCAAAAAACAACGCCAAAAGCAGAATCTCTGAACTCCTCGCTACCCCTTTTTGAAGGAAGCCTAACCCTGTTCTAAGTACAGGTTTAGGGTTTTAGGGTTTAGGGTTTAGGGCCTCAAGCCGCCAACAGCCTACAGCCTAAACCCCAAACCCTAAACCAAGAACCCTGAACCCTAAACCCTAAACCGTACAGTCCGAGCTGCAGCGATGCGCACTCTTGGATCGGGATCCGCCATGTACGGTGCAAGGCTCCTTGCCTGCGCCGCGGGCTCGGAAGATTCAGACCACAGAATGTAGGGGTTTAGGGTTTAGGGTTTAGGGTGTGGTGCTTTACATGGGATCTCATGTAGGGGCCTTGATGATTAGAATAGGGTTTTGGGGTTCCTTTAAAGGGTTCCTTAAAGGGTTCTACTATAAGGGTTTAGGGTTTAGGGGCCTTTATGATTGGAATAGAGTTTTGGGGGTTCTTTATTATAACTATAGTATACTATACCCCCAAGCCCTGTTCTAATTATTAAGGCCCCTATGTTAAAAGATGATACCATATCATATGATCTGCCAAGGTAGGACATGATGTGATAGGGTATGATCTGATATTGTATTGAAAGGGGATATAAGGCGATCTTACTACCTAAACCCCTCAACCCTACACCCGGATGCTGACCATTGCATGAACCCCAAAGCCCAAACCCCAAATTCTTCAAGAGATCCTTCCCTACAGCACCCATGTAGAAAACCTTACAGTGCACTTGAGGGCCAGGGGCATGGAGAACGAAAGCTCGGTCTTTTTTTACAGAAGGACTCAACGACTACGCACACGCAAACGCAGAGAGACATGGCTGCACTGCACAAACACTTCACAAACAAGTA